GCGCCGACGCGTCCATTAGCAAGATAGATGCATAATGCATATTTCTTATTAGGAACAGGCGCGCATCACTCAACGACTGACGCGGTTTACCACGCGTCGAACACGTAGGCTGTATTTTGCTGCCGCGACAATTCTGCCGAAACTCATCTTTTTTCAGATCACGATTGTCTAGTTGTTTACATACGCTTTAAGCCGCGCTCTTTCTGATGACACAACTTTCAAGGCGCTACGACCAATCCTCGTTGAGTTTGACTTGGGGTGAAAAATAACAAATTTTTGCGTTTTATGATGCGAAGATTAGGTTTTGAATCCCCAATTTTTCGCGTTTTCCATGGGTGAATAAGTTCTATTTACCGTGTGTGTGAATGGCGTGTCGATTCGAGGACTTTTATTTTCGAATTTCAAACCCTCGACCATACGGTACCTCTAGGTACGGTATGTGTTGATGAAGATTGGCCCAAAGGTGATCAAGGACTCGCAAATCCCAGTGCGTCATCGCGCAAAAGGTGCATCAGACGCTGCAGCACAAGACAACAGGCGCACGACCCAGGCGCATGGCAAGCCTTATGACCGTGCTTCTGGAAAGGACAATAATAGCAAACCTGTCATCAAGTCCTCGCAACAGCTCCAATCAAGCGGCTCCAAGACCCAAACAACAATGCTCACCGCGGAGAAACGCGACGAATATCGCCAAGCAAAAGGGACTCTGCTACTGTATAGCTGCGGAAAAAAAACGTGGACGCGAGAGCACAAGTGCCGCGAGCACGAAATTGCGAAGCTGCGCGCCCTCGAAAAAAAGACGCGTGGCATGCGTGACGAATTGGGCCTTCCGGTCGACCAAGATTCCAATGCCCAGGACGACGGCCAAGAAGACACTGTGATGATGTCACGGCCCAGCTCGCGTCGAGTGGCAAACATGCGCAAAAAGCGCGTGAGCCGACGCGCTCGGAGCCATTGACGCGTTGACGCGTCAATGGCGCGTTAAAAAAAAAAAAGAAAAACGAATTGACACACGACAAGATCATGCTGTATTCAATATTATTGCCAAGCAAGAAGCGTGTGTATATGTATCAGTGCCTGGCCAAGACGCGCATGGCGTGGCAAGGCAAGCCAATCGAATCAATCAAGAGAAAAACGAAGGGGAAACAAGCAACCAAGAAATACTACAAGTCAAAACCAAGCATTAGCATGCACGGCCAAAAGTCACGTGCATCCGGACCAGTGTCTAGCCAATGACGTGCTAGGCGCGGCATTGGCGGCAAATTGAAAAAAAAAAAAAAGAAACGGAAAGAAAAGCAACAAAATGTGCAAGTGAAGCATTTGCAACAACCCTGCGCACGCGCACCCGATCCATCTGGCACGCCCTTGAAGCCTCGGAGGCACTAATTATGGACATCAGCCGATTTTGCAGGCGATCCTCGGATCGATGGAAAATCGCGCTGTCAAAGCTTATTTTATTGACAACGCATGGTGACCGGCATGATCCAATTTGGACACTTGATTATTTCCTTCTTTTATTACGCCCAGGTCACATTGCGTGGGAATGCACCTATAGGTTGTCGCGCTACCGTCTCACAAGCAATGAATGGTTCATCAGCGCGTTTCCTTTGAAAAAAATACCTGAACAAGCGACGGATCACCTCACAGCATCACCAATTAGACATTTTGTCAATCTTGTGACAGCACACGTCAATATTTCCAGATCAAGGATGATCCGGAGCGCTGTGGAGAAAAGATTTGGAAAAAGTATAAAAAGGGGTCCATTGTCAAATATCTTTTATTCTCTTTCTTTTCTTTTCTTTACACTTGAGATCTATTCTCATTCCCTTCCCCTTTTTTCTTTGTTACTCCTCGCACCCCTTCTTTTTATTATTCATTAAACAACGATGTATTTGAACCCTATCCCAGTGAGTTTGATGGTGACGTTGGCAACGGCGCCGCCAGCAATGCCAACAGCGGGACCTGATAGATGACCCTCTTGGAAGAACAAGAACGCGAATTCGGCGGGAAACCCCTTGAAGAAGCCGAATACAACGTCATGGACGACTGTAAGAAAAAACTTACGGTACAGAAAATCAGAGAAAAAAGAGGCACAAAAGGAATGTGGTGAAAGAAAGGCCAGACTGAACGAAATGAAATTCTTGTCCCTATACTGTAACCATAGAAGGCACCACCACAACGCTCATGGAGATTTGGTGCCCATGGATGCGCCCATTGCCGCGAAAAAAAGAGAGGCCCCGCTCGCAGAACATTGATACTGTACAGTAATAGACGTGGAGGACATCGACATTTGGCGCATGCTCCAACAAGTACTACCCTCAGGTGGCTACCGGTACTGTATATTTCGCCGGCTCAATTGATGATGGCAGACCGATGGCTGGGACCTTATTACTGTATTTAGTGACCCGGCGAAGTGCACATGGAACTTATATTATCACCAGATTGGCCCTGATGGAGTCAAAGAAACTGTACATAGAGACCGATGAATTCAAAATCCCGTTATTTTCACCAATTGAGCAAAGGGTCTCGAAATATCTTGTGGCTCGCAGTGAAAATAGCAACAGTAGAAAGAGACACACTCGGGTGGTGTTATTTCTGGATTGTTTGTTTACTCGATGGACGAATTGAACGTTGCACGCTTGCAAAAGTCGATCAAACTTTGAATTACTGTAATTTTCAATCTCACTTTTCTTGACAACTGGACAAACAATCTACGGTGCTTTTAACGTGTGGTGAGCGGCTGCTGAATCTTTATTGAATGAGACCAGTTTCATCAATGAATGGCTAAAACTCGCAGAGAAAACCCATTTTTTCATCAAAATCTTTGATCGCGATTTGATCGAGCGACAACGGTCTAGTCAACTCCTGATTTTTATTGCAGTTTTACCGACAAACATGGGGCGAAGCAACTAATGAGATGACTTGCAGTATACCAGCTTGGGTTTGATCTTTTTGAATCGGTCTTTTCACCAGGCTGCAGCCCACTCAGCGCACAAAAATTTGCAAAATTTGCAAAATAAAAAATACACAAAAAATAAAAAATCCATGCAATCCACGCACCTTAATTTAGAAGTGTCAGATCTTAAATTTTTGCAATTTTTTTTGCCCAAAGTAGGCACTTTTTTCCAGTCGATCATCGTTCATGCGTCACTCTTTGGGCAATTTTCTTAAAGTTGGGGCAAGCTGCCACTTTGTCTGCCAATAGCAGATCGTTGGAGTTACCTGGTTGGGATGCATTGATCACTCGGAGTTCGAAAAATCCCAAATTTGGGATTTTCTGAATTGAAATGTGTGACCCCTGAGTGACCCCTGAATTTTTCAAAAGTGGTCGTAGCGCTTTGGGGGGTTAAGCTTTTTTGTTGCAAATTTTGCGCTGACTGCGATGCAGCTATTTTTAAGCGGGGTTGACCTTGCAGATGACTTGATGAATGCGAAATAGTATAAATGGGAGATTTTTGGAATTTCGAGTCCAAAAAAAATCGGGCGGGTCCGTCTTGAGCACTGGAACGCAGTTAATACCGCGACGCATTTTTTATTGGCAAGCAAGTAGGCTGTAAAAAAATTTCTGGAGACACAACACGCCGGCAAAGTCTGGAAAACTGGTTGTTAAAACTTAAAAGGTAAATGTGTACGGCTGTACGCTCTTGTGCAGTGTGGAGCGTTGCTGCAGGCATTGAAATGATAGCACGCATCAGTCTCACCGAGACTAAAAAAATGGACAGATTAAACATTTTATTCTTGCGTAAAAGCCCAGCAAATCATGAAAATGGTGATTTAATATTTATTTGTTCATTTTCTCGTGCACTAACTGATCGACTTTTTTTTTCAAACGAATAATAGTCATTCTTTACGCTTGCAGCAATGCACTCGTCAATTTTGAGAAGCATACAGTAAGATCACAGAATCATCATGGTGAAACACACAGTGCCCTTTAACTTTTTCGTTGCCTATTTTTTTTTCTAGGTGTCGCAGCGCTTCGTTGTAAGCAGCGATTTGGTTGCAAATCATGGGCTTTTTCCTGTCCACTTGTATTGAGTGACACAGTGAGTTGGCTTTTTTAAAAAATGCGCAAATTGCAAAAGTTGCACTTTTGGACCTCCATCAATGATACAGTACAGCTTTTGTTGTGGGCGATACAGAGCCGTGCTACAAGCAGCAAAAATGATGTGCGTGTTGTATTCTGTCCAGTCTGTAGTTCGTTTGTATTTGAGAGGGCTACAGTATCATCCAGAGAAAAAGAGAACGCAAAAAACAAAAGCGCGAAAAAAGCGCGAAGAAGGCGATTTCTCTTTAGGCAGCCTTTCTTTCTAGGCACGATGTCGTTCTGAAGCAAGTGGCAAAGATGAGCCAGACAAGACGCACCAACTTTTGCCGCCGTTGTTGTGCGCGACCATACCTATAGCCACAGGGCGCTGAATATCGCAAAAGAGAGGACATTTGACCAAAATGCTCCTTTCTCAAGATTTGATGCGCTAAATTGGCGTAGTTTAAGTGTCCTCACATTGGCGCTTTTGCTTAGCAAGTGAGGGCCCACCAAGTATGACAGCAGTTTTTGCAACAAAGAACGACCTCAACGGCATCATTACTTTGGATGACCCGAAGTTGCGTGTTCGTCTTTTTTTTTTTTTTTTTTTTTTTTTTTGGCTTTCTCGTGCGAAATTGCCTTCAAATTTGATCGCATCCACTTGAATATAGCATGGATGAACGCGTCTCGACTGCCTCTTGCAATACTGTATGTCAAGGCCGGGTCTCACAAAATCGTTCAAATCCATGCTGTGCATTGCACGTTTCCATCTCACGCACTAGAAAGGGCGTCCAAAAAATGGCATGATGGTCGCTTGCATTCAAGCAAGGCTGACCAGGGTGGGAGACGCAGCCGTGCTCCACTGAAATTCGGGATACCTCGCACGCAAAAAAAAAAAAAAAAAAAAAAAAAGAGACGAAAAGCAATCCAAAACAGCAGGATTCATCATGGAACAGCTGGAATCGAAAGAAAAAAAAGGTCTCGCCGAGACTCGAACTCGGATGGGTGGATTCAGAGTCCACAATGCTAACCATTACATCACGAAACCAATTCTGTCAATTTTTTTGACTGGTGCACCAGATCCGTCCGAAAAGTTCATTTTAAACCCCGACACCAGCCTTTGGTGAAGGATCAGTCACGGCGGAGTACATCTCCATCTGTTTGGCGCTTGTTGGCCAATTTTGAGAAAATTGACCCGACTTGCGCAGCCACAATCCCTATTTTTGTCCTCATTGTCAGAGCAAAAAAAAAAAAAAAAAAAATCGATGAAATGTTTAAAACAAGGGTATCCACGCGTCTTGTTGCTTTATTGATGAGAGTGAAAGTGTGTAGATAGGCAGAAAAAAAAAAGAAAAAAATGGGCTGAAGAGATGGGATGACATGCAAAAAAAAAAGAATAAAAAACAAAATTCAAGAGTGAAACAAAGAAAAAAAAAAGATTGAGGTGTTTGGCTCATTGCGGGGGGAAATAAGGCACGTAGGGCGTGTTCATGACGGGGGGTGCCGCGGCCTGTGGGTGTTGTTGCTGGATGGGGGGTAGGGAGGTTGCCATGGGCGGGAGTTGAGTCTTTTCGGGTAATGCAGAGGATTGAGGGGGTGGTGGCAGCGGTGCCGTCGGGGGCAGGGGTGTGGCGTACTGCTGGAGCATCTTTTGCTGCTGCTGGTATTTGAGCATGAGGTGGTCGAGCCGCTTGGTGGCCTCGGACTGTTGCTGCTGCCGATAGTCGAGCGAGTATGGCACCGCGCCGGAAATGGGCGTGGCACGGTGGCGCCGCGGCGACGACGACGGATTGCCCACGGCCGCCGCGCTCGACGACACGGGCGTCGTCACCACCGCATTGGCCGTCGACGTGGGCGTCGGTGCAGGTGCTGCCTGGAACATGGCATGATGATGGCCATGCATTGGCGCAGACGTCGTAGGCATCAACGGCGCACCGGACACGCCTGCCACTCCAGCCATGGGTCCAACGCCGGCAACGCCAGGCACAACAGGATGCACAACACCACCCTTGTTCTCCTCGTTCATGCGTTGCATGCGCTCTTGCTAAAAAAAAAAAAAAAAGAAAAAAAAAGAAAAAAAGGAGGAATCAGCGCCATGGTGCCTTTTTTTTTCCCTTCTTTTGCCTCCCCCTCTTTGTCTTACACTCTTGCGGATGGTCCAGTCGAATTCATAGTCGTACTTGAAATTAAGTCTGACAAAGAGCTGGCGGAAGAGTTTGTGCAAATAGGTGTAATCGGGCTTCATGTCAAAGCGCAGGCTACGGACGTACGTCAAATAGACGGAGAATTCGGCCTCGAGACCACGGCACAGTTCCTCGGGCGAGATGGACATCTTTTTCTCCATGATGCGATCATATTTCTCCTTTTTCGTCGCGGCACGGATGCCTTGCCACGGCAGCTGCCCGCGACAAAAATAGATGAGAATGTAACCAAGCGATTCCAAGTCGTCGCGTCGGGATTGCTCTATTTTTAAAAAAAAATTTGCAAATGACGTGAGAAACAGGTAGGTTGATCAGCGCACGGACGCTTTTTTTTTTGGTTGAACATGGGTGGGTGACAAGTTGCTTTTTTCCATGTGTCTTACCGATGCCAAGATGGGTATTAATGCTTGCATAGCGCGGTGTGCCCGTTAGATTCTTGTTCTCACGGTAGCGGATATGGGTCAGGTTGCGAGGATCACGAAAACGCTTTGCAAGGCCAAAGTCAATCAGATTCACCTGCTTGCCACGGCGTCCGGAGCCCATCAAAAAGTTGTCGGGCTTGATGTCGCGATGGATGAAGCTTTTTGAGTGGATGTATTCTAGGCGCGACAGCTAAATTGGAGACAAAAAGAGAGAGAATGTGTGTGCAAGTGTGTGAATAAAAGGCGCTTTTTTTTTTTTTTTGGTTGTTGTTGTTGCGGGATTTATACCATTTGATCGGCAAGCAACAGGACGGTCTTTAGACTGAATTGACGCTTGCAATAGTTAAACAGGTCTTCCAGCGAGGGTCCGAGCAGGTCAATGACCATGATGTTGTGATTGACCTCCTCGCCATAATAGCGGACAAATGGAATGCCCACGCCGCCAGCAAGTAGTCGATACACCTTGCTTTCGTACTCGAGCTGCGGATGCGCCGCCTTTTTGCGCTCGGCCTTGACAGCGACCTCCTCGTTTGTCGTCGTGTTGGTGCCTAAACAGATGGAAAAAAAAGAGAGTGTAAGCCACCTCATTGTATCTCCTTTTCATCCAAATTGGCTATTATGGCGGTCCAATGAGCCATGTTTTTTTTTCATACGCCCTTACCGAGATATATTTCACCGAAAGACCCGGCGCCGATCTTCTTTCCTAGCTTGAATTTGTAGCCAACAAGGGAGCCTTCCAAGGACATGATCAAGAAACGAAGCTGAGGAAAAAAAAAGAAACAAAAAAGAAGAGTATAAAAGAGAGGGAGGGAGTGCAAAAGAGAGAGGGGGACTTCAGCTGAGCAAGAATAAATATGATAAGGCTAGATGAGAAAGAGAGCGGCGCACGGGACGGACAAGAAGAAGCAGTGAGAGGAGAGGGCCCAGGGAGCGATAAAAAGTGACAAAAGGGGGCGAGGGAAGAGGGAGGGCTCGAGTTTTAGGCAAAAAAGAAAAGAAAAAGCAAAAAAAAAAAACGGAAGGGGAAGATGAAAGCACGAACGGAAAAGAAGAAAGAGAGAAAAAAAAAGTGAAAGAGGGAGGGGCGGAGGTCAATTTTCCAAGGCAAAATCCCTTTCCGGCCCAACAGCGAAAAAAAAAAAAAAAATCCGAGCCGCCGTTCAGCCATTGGTCCTCAAAGATGGATTCAGTGAGATCGCGGCACAATTTGGATGCAAAAAAGCGTTGCTTTTATTTGGTGGATCGTTTATGCACAAATGAGAAAAATAATGAATGGAAGAAATAGGGGAAAAAAAAAGAGAAAAGAGGGGTGGGGGGCATCGTTTTTTTTTTTTTTTTAGTAAACCAGGGCTTCGTCCTACATTTGTTGAAGAAAAAGGGTTAAAAACAGGTGCTTTGCAGGCTATTTTTTTGTGTATGCTTTTTTTTTTTACCAGCTTTTTGGCCTCAGCTAGACAATCATCGTACAAATCCTTGTAGTCTTCCGCTGCCTTGACATCCTTCTTTTTGCCGCCAAGGACGACCATGGTGACGGACGTGGGGCGCTTGGTGGCGCTGGCCTCGCCCAATTGCTCCTTGGAGGGCACAAACACGTAGGGCACGTCATGGTCCTCGCAAAGCACAGGCATGTGCGCAATCACGTCAATGGGCGAGATGTCGCCGGCAATGACGACAAGACCCTTTTCGCCCTTGGACAGAGCCTTGGCCACCTCCTTGACGCCACGGCACACGTGCTTGGCCTTGCTCGCTATAATCATAAAATGAGCATTTTGGCCAAATTTTCTTTTGTTTTTCGCCTTGTTTTACCCTTTTTCACCGTCTTGAAGATCTTTTTGCTCAAGGCGTCCTCGGCCATGGGATGCGCAATAGGCGACACATAGTGCACAACACCGTCAGACTTGACCTTCTTCTCCTTTTTGTCTTTCTTGTCCTTTTTTTCTTTGGCCATGGTTCACGTCAAAACAATGAGCTGGGGAATCTTTAAAAAGAAAGAAAAAAAATGACTGGCACGACTGAAACTTTTTTATGGGCGGGCAATGGAAGCCACCAAAAAAAAAAAAGTGTGCATTGTCGGCGGATCCAACTAAAATTGATCTAAAATTGGGCAGCCTTGTTTTGAAGACATTGGGCCTCCGCACATGGGGCACGCTTTTTGGAGCATGATTTCAGACGCACCGAGTATTAAATTTGCTCACACGCCCTTTTTTTTTCTTTTTCGTTTTTGCTCCTTTTTTTCTCGTTTTTACACCTCCATCTTGCTTTTTTTGGTTTCATCATGAAGACTTCCTTGCTGGCCTGCCATCTTCGGTCATGGCACCCTACCGGTGCGGTGCCTCAACCGCGCCCCGTGCTGTTTACGCGGTCGGTGGCCTTTGCCCTGGCGAGGGCGTCGTCAATTCGCGCGTATCACGGTGGAATGGACTATCCTGGCGGCACCGACAGAGATTATGCTCAAGACTCTTTGGATATGGTGCATTTATCGGATCCACGCACGGTAAAAAGCGAGAGAAAAAACGAGATTGAGAAAAAAAAAATGGAGGCAATTCCATGGTCCTTGATTGCGTTTTGCGGGCGAGCCATTTTTGCTTACGCACTCCATTTCATCAAAAGATTGTCAAGCACCTGGACGACTATGTGATTGGGCAACAGCGCGCAAAAAAGACATTGGCCGTGGCCATTTACAATCATTACAACCGTGTGCGGTTCAACTTGACGCGTGAGCGGCTTTCGCAGCAGCAACAGGGGGCCGCTTCATCAGTGCACTTGCTACCGAGCGGGGTGGCAACGTCATCTGCACCTCAAACACCCCCCACAGCCGTCTCACCTGCGGCAAACGTGCCGTCAAGCCCCATCATGGTCACCCCAACCGCCACCATGGCCACAAACACAGATATCCATCACTCGACCTTGCCGTCTGATTATTATTCTGGTAAATTGACATGTAAAAAAAAAGAGTGAGAAGGCACGGGGGCAAACCTGGATCAGGCAAAGCACCCGGTGAGAAAAAAAAAAAGAACGGGCCAAGACGTAAAGTTTATGTGTAACTTCATGTGATGTCTTTTTTTTTTTTTATGTGCGAATGATAGCACACCCGCGGCCTGCCAATTGGCTCAATCCACCCTCACAGCGCGCAGGCGCCGCAGCCGCAGCGGGCGAGAATCAACAACAGACACAGGCCGCTTCTGCTGTCGACGACGAAGAAACCACATTGCACGAAAAGAGCTGTGTCTTGCTCATTGGTCCAACAGGCTCCGGAAAGACGCTCATGGCGCGCACCTTGGCTCAAATCCTGCAGGTGCCCTTCTCGGTAAAAAAAAAAAGGATCCCAACCAACAATGCCACGCTGTTTCCCATGAATTCCCATGATTTTCATTGTTTATGGATTGCTGATGCTATTTTTAATTTCATTGCCTGTGATAGAGCAA